CGGCGCAGGTATCATATATCGTCGTTTCAATTTTCTCTAAACTACCTTTGCATGATAATCAGGACTGAAATCGATAAACTGGTTACCGAGATACAACTTTATAGTCATAAAGTGGGCGGTGCCATGCCCAATTCCTAAAAGTCTATAGCAGTCTTATTTAATGTTAAGAGATTGTTGTTACTATTAAATTGGAGTAAATTAGTCCCATCAGTTATTGAAATAGCGGAGTTTTCGTATTTCTGAAACTTACCGTTATACGGGATGTGTGTTTAATTTTAGTTTGATTTGAATAATTTTTAATGAATAGCTTTTTCGTACCAAGGTTATTAAATACACCCTGTTTGGTAGATAATGATAAATCAGTTACTGAGATACACATTTGTGGTCATAAGTGGGCGGCGCCACGCCCATTATCCCAAAAATGTACAACAACCTAATTTTCTCCTAAGTAAGTGGTGATTGCAATAATCGATTTTGAGTGAATTTGCCTCAGTAGTTGCTAATTTATGGCAGTTTTCGTGTTTCTCTAAATTACCGTTATATGGCAAGTTATTGCCCGATTTCAAAAATGTTCCTTCAGATTTCTCAGCTAGACCCTAGCCCTAGTACTCAATTTTTGCTCGAGCTATCATGTACACGGACAGACGGGAGGACAGACGGACATGGCTTAATTGACTACTCTATTCATTCTGAGCATTTATATATACATTTGTCTATATCTATCTCGATTAGTTTTGGCCGTTATGCGAACAAGTGAGCTCGGGTATAAAAATTCTCTGTTTTTCATGTGTCAGAAAGAGCCCTTCACGAAGGGTTCGATCAATCACAATGAAAATTTTGTCACATTCACTCGAAAAATTCTGGTCCAAGAAAGAGGAAGCTTTATAAACGGTGGAAAACCAAGATTGACTATAAGCCCAACTCCAAATTATGTCGGAGTTCCTCGAATAAATCGTTTAAATTTAAACTCTAATGAGAAATGATTTTTTGAGCTTAGAAAATCCAGGCAATGAGCAATAGTGTGCCTGTTGTGACCAGCAGAGCACCTGTTTTGATGAAGCCCTAAACCCTGGCCAACATTAATTCCACCCTCTACTGTGAAATGTTAATAACACCAATTAAACGATTAGGATTGATTAATAGAAATTTGTTGTGCTCCATTATTAAAACGCCCAACCAGACGTACATAAATATTAAAAGCGATTGGTTGGAAAGTTTTAATGCGACTACAATATAGCACAAATCTTGTTCAATTTGTTTCATATCCATTCCGATATCTGTGGAGCTCCCTTAATAGTGCTGAGTTGACTTCAGTAAGAGCCAAATGAAATCATTAGAATCAGATGTCATTCCAGAAGTCAGCCAAGTTTTTTTGAAGGAGGCATCATGATGTTGTCTTAAAAATACCACAAGCGTTGTTTGTCCTGTAGTCGAATGTGAAATATACTTACACATATCTAAGTACATATGTATGTGCAGCTCAATGTCACGTCTACATAACTATTTTATGATTACTGACTTACAAAGAACTTGACCTGAGCGAGTTCCCTAATAATGTTTTCAATATCTAGGAGACTTTTGCTTATTAAAAAACCTTGCCAGTAGTATTCTCATACCATTCTTTTGTGCAATTCTGACAATACGCTAAATTTCCGATACCAAAATTGTCATATATTGGCTAATATGTTGAGAAAAAATTTACTTTTGAGCCATTTCCACCTAACCTTGGCTACGTAAATAATCCTCTAAAACAGCAATAAAGAAACTCTAAAATAGGCGTTGTTTTGGAAGATTATTTGTGTATAACCTAAAGATTCTAACTTAACAAATATTCAACAATAAATAGTTTTGAATCGAGTTTTTTACTAGTTTATTCAGATTTTCAATAGTTAGTAACAAAAAAGGTGATATTGAAAAAATAAGCATTTAGAACTTACAACTGTTAAGCTCAACAGTTGAAAAATAATTTTAGTGACTTTTTCTAACAGGGAATTACGTTTTTCAAGATTTTTGTAAAAAATGTTGCATTATTTAATGATAATTTTAATTATTTTACCTAAAATAGCAGAAAAACTGTAATAATGGCATAAATTTGATTTTAAGTTTGAATAACCGTTAAACCAGTTGGTTGTTCAAAAAATTATGTGAGATATTTTTTGTAGAGTGTCTAATTTCCAACTAAAATATGTATCGATTTCTTTCGTTCGATAACTCATAGCCTAGAAAACAAATTCCAAAGTTGAAAAAAATTGTTTTCTATGTACATTAGAGGTATACGCCGCCGAGCCACGCCGCCGTTTTTTGTCGTTTCTCACGCGCCGCCGCCGAGTTACGAAAATATCGGCGCGGCGGCGGCGGCGGCGGCGTTCGGCGCCTAAGGAATTTTGTAAAAAGGTTTCTTGTTGTATGCACATTGTTTGAAGGAACTAAATACTACTCGTTTACAAACACTATTTTACGAAATGAAAATAATATTTTTAAAAGGATTTTTTTTGCATAATTTGGGCCACTGAACATTTCCAAAAAAAGCGTAACTCAGAAAAAACATATATAGGTTTTTCGATCGAAAGTTTTTATTACAGTTAAATTAGGGTCGAATACTGGTAATCTGACCATTTGCTCCGCAGTAGACAATTTTTTTTCAATACTACAACAATACTACTTTTTTATATACTACAACAACAAGAAAGTTATAACACATCAAAAACTTTAACGCCAATATCTCAGAAAGCAGTTTTAACAGAAGCGCCCTTATTGCATCTTACTCCTCAATTATTGAAGATAAAACAAAGACTAGTTGATTTTCCTGTGTGTTATTTTAAATATTTTAAACAGAATTTTAATAAAAAGCAAACACTTTTTTGCTAATTTTTGCATTCGTAACTTACATTATTCTGGGGTCCCACAGACGTATACACAAGAACTAGGTGGCTGTGTGAAAATTACGTTATTATTCCTAAAAAATAGGCAATAATATTTCTCATAAAAACGAATAAAATTAGGGGGTAGGGTCTTGAAATTTTCAAAAAAAAAGCATTTTCGATGGGAAACCTAATGTATATCGCCCGTCCATCAGCAGCAGTCACTTAACATTTGAATTCAAGTAGGAAGTAACGTAGTTTAAATTTAAAACTAATTCAATGAATGAATTAACTAGAATTATAATCTGATGGCATGATAAGAATGGAAGACACGCCGCCGACGCAAAGACTATCGACGTAAACCTCTAATGTAAAATTATATTTTTGTTCTTTACAAGCTTTTATTTCAATCAATATTTAACAAACTTCGCGATGACCTACAGACTTGAAACTTCACATTTAGCTCAGAACACGATGACAATGCAAGATCAAAGAAAAATTAATCCGCTACGTGGTGTAGGAGTCGAAATATTTGTAAAACCGTCATTTACAGTTCGATTGCGTTCATATTTGGAATGTATATTACTAGCATGAAAAGAAATTACGCCACAGAAAATTTTGCCGCTAAGTGGCGCAGGGGTCGCGATATTTGTAAAACCGGCATTTGTGGTTTGATTTAGTTCATATTTGGAATGTATATTACCTATATAAAAATAAATAACTCCACAAAAAAGTTTGCCGAAAGCTGGTGCAAGAGTCAAGATATTTGGAAAACCCCTATTTATGATCCGATTTGGTTCAAATTTAGAATACATACAAATATGTGAATTACCTACTTAAATTAAAATCTATTGAAACCCCAAATCATGCCTAGAGACTCAGGAGGCTTACCTAAAGAATTGGAAATATTTATTTGAAGGAGCTAACAGCAACGATCCAATATTGATGTATCCAAAGAACTTATAAATGGCGCAATAGGATTCAACGCCGAAATTATCTGGCAAAATTTTAGACGAGATCAAATGTATGCAGAAGATATACCATTAATACGTGTAAAATTTGGAAATGACGGCATACGTGCAAGGTAGTACTAGGGACTACGCTGTTAGAATCAAAGGTATTTGCAAATGTCGCGTTTTCAGTACAAAAATCTGTAGTTAACTGCCGATTCTGGGCCTCATGCATAAAAAGTGAGCTTAAGCTCCGACTCGATTTTCAGTACAAATTCTTGAGCTTGAGCTCACCCTTTCAGTGCAAAAATTTAGTCTGAGCCTAAGCTCACTTTTTATGCATAAGGCCCTCTGAGTTCACTATGCTAGAACGACTCGGATAGAGGAATTGGTTAGCTCGTAACTGACTGGAAAGTAGCCATGCCATAACAATGTATTGAACGAATTTGGTAGAACGAGAAATATACGGACAGTATAATATTTATTGCAGGATTCCAAAATACTAAAAAGTATAAAAAACATTTTAACTTAAAGAAACTAAAAACACGCTTTTGTTGCAACAAGAACAAAAAAGTATGAAATAATTTATAGATATTGCGATTGAGAAGACTAGGAAGTTCACTAACTTGATGAAGTTTTTTATAAACTAGGTTGAAATAGGATTAAAGTGATTGGCCCGTAGTCAGAGTAAAAATAAAGTTGCAGTTCTTTTGACAGATATCCCATTGAAACTTATGTCATAGTCGACTTTATATTGACTATGACTACGGGACAATCACTTTAATCCTATTCCAACCTAGTTTATAAAAAGTAAAACTAAATCAAGTTAGGGAACTTCGTATTCTTCTTAATCGCTATATCTATAAGTTATTTTATACTTTTTTATTCTTGTTGCAACAAAAGCGTGTTGTTAGTTTTTTAAACTATAATTTTATTTCTAGACATGTTATTGATATACATACTACTGCAACGCGTACTTTCTTGTTCAAATTTACTATGTAGTAATTATAATGTTTACTTTATAATATTTGGATAACACATCTATTTCTTAGCTTTGATTGAAATGGCGCTCGTGCAACTTGTGCAACAATTTTCATAATCATAATCATATTTCAGCTTTTTCCCTAACGACATATCTCTTACTCTTATTTCTTATTTTGCGTGTTTCATTTCATATGCTGCTGTACAGATTTATGATTGGGCAATACATCACTGTCCATGGCGATGTAATTAGTCACGTCAACATTAGCCATGTCATGGTGGAGGATGGTGGCGAATACTCGTGCATTGCAGAGAATCGTGCGGGAAAGGTTCAGCATGCGGCGCGCTTAAATATTTATGGTACGTAAAATAAAAATATTTATTTAAATAAAAAAATTAAAAAAATATATAAAATCTAAAATTTTCACATGTCCATATGCAACGCTACGTAGAGGTCTTTTTGTCATTGTGGTGTGGCTACGCGGCCATGGTTTAGCGCAAAATAAAAGTTTTTAAGTCACAAATATGTACGTACATACATATCTGTACTTATAACTACATAACTACATATATATTTATTTGTGCAAATATTTTCATGTTGCTATGCAATGCAGCCAACCTCGCGTAACGAACTGCGCCCGCGCTTTTGGCGTATCTATACAGCATTTGTCAGGTCATTCACAGTAAAAAATAGAAGAAAAACTGTTTTTTCGGCTTTTCTGCTTTAGCCTAGGACATTCTCTTTGAATTTGTGTTCATTTGTATGCATTTTTCTGAATTTTTTTCCAATGTCATATTTTATGTCGGCGGGGTACTTTTCAGACGGTCAGCAACCAAAACCAGCTTTCAATTTAAGTCTATAGAGCTGTGTAAGAATATATGGCATCACTTTATTTTGCACTCCGCTCTTTCCATTAACAAACATATACTGATAAATGCATGCATATGTAAATATATGTAAGTATATAGTATGCGTGTACATATTATGTTATGTTCACATAAAAAACACCTTTACATTGGTACATATGTATGTACTCGCGTGTCTCTAAAGCGAAGCGCATATTAGCGCGATTCCATCGTTGCGAATACGTTGCGAATTCGGCTGTTAACTTCGAATCCGCAAACGTGCGCACACTTGAGCGATTTTTTCGATTTCCGATGTACAATTCACTCAATTTTCCCTTTATTTCGTGTATTTTCGCACTCGGCGTGCCCAAATCGTACAAAATACTATTATTACGAACGTTTTTATTAGTTTTTGTACATTACACGTTTTTTTTCTTTGCCTTTATTGCTGTGACACCTTTGTTCTTCTTCTTTGACGCCTTCAAAACGCTGCAAGCCGCGTTTCGAACGCGTCAATAGAGAAGAACATTGAATGTTCGAAAAATTCGCAGCGACGGAATCGTGCAAGTGTGCGCTAGCGCATTAAAATGTATGGGTAGCATTGTTGTAATTTTTGGGCTTGCGGATTCGCAACGACAGAATCGCGCCAATGTGCGCTTCGCTTTAAAGTTATGCCTTACAAAGATTTACAGTAAATGTTTGAAAATGCGATAATTTAGGAACGGTGAATTGTCCGGAATAATTCTCTTTTTAACGCAAGTAACTGGTGAATTTAATACAAACTAGATTGCCAGTTACTGTCGAAATTCGATTTTTATAGTTTTAGAAGCCTTGGAGAGGCTTTCTAACTTAACACGTAGCAAAACTTATACGGTACAAATTAACTAACCGGACAATCTTCTTCTTTGGAACTAAAAAGTAAATAAAATTTTTTATCTGAGAAGGTGTTTGGAGGACTCCGGCAGGACTTGGAATTGACCCGATACATTCAATGCCGCCGATAAATTTCAATGATTTGATACATATTGATAGTTCGATGAATTTCAAGAACACTACAATCCGATAATTCAACAAAATTCGTTAACTCGACCAATTTCGATAACTGTGAAATTTGAGGGCTCGATAAATTTCGATAACTCAAAAATGTAAATTCTTTGGATACCTTTATAAATTTTTACTTTTGGCAGCTCTACATTTTTCGAAAACTATCTAAACATTTTGGTAACTTGTTACACTCTGTTAACACGATAAAACTCGATAAGCAGTGATAAATCGATAAGCTTATATAACCTTGAAATTTCGATAAATCGATATATTTTGAAAATTCCATAAACTTCGCTTCGTTGAACCAACCAATTTCAGTAGATCAATAATTATCGATAACCATGTAAGTTGAAAGAACTCCATGCATTACGACACCTCGATAAATTTCGTTGTCTATAAATAATGATAATTCAATAAGTATCGATAACTTGATACATTTCTTTAACTTGACAAATTTCGTTAATCCCACACGTTTTTATAGCTCGATAACTATCCGTAAATTTGGACAAATAAGTTTCTGTGTCTATAAATTTCAACAACTCAATAAACATTGATCAGTTTGAATAATTCGATACGTTGCGATAACTCAATAAGCATGGATAAATTTCGATAATTATAAACTTCGATGATTCGATAAATTCAGTAACCTTTATGGCTGATTTTATTTCGATTCCTATCTTTTAACCTAATTCTTATGTATTTCTCATTGTCTCCATTTTCGCCTTTATCTCAATTTTCGACTTTATCTTCACTTTTGCCTTTTTTTGTCTTCATCGTTATCACTTGTTTCTTCATCTTCATATTTATCTTTATTTCAAAGTTGAATTTCAAATACGAAGTAAAACAAAATGCGAAACAGCTTAAATTGAACAGGTTGCAAAAACAACCATACACAAATATGGAAATTTTTAAACGACGATTTTCAACAAATTTCGAAACTATAAAAACTCTCCTCTACAGAAAATTACCTTTCCAACGGTGTTTTTGGTTTTGAAATCGGTAACTTTACCTTGGTCTTCATCTTTGTTTTTATCTTTCACATCTTTGCTTATATCCTTTTATTTTACTATTCACGTAGATGAGATGAGGTGCGATGACGTGATAAGATGTGACGTGATTTTATGTGATGTGATAGGATGTATTTCATGTGTTGTCATATCCCCTGATGTCATGTCATATGATGTCATACCATATGATGTCATATCATGTGATGCCACGTCATGTAATGCCATGCCATATCATACGATGATATATCATGTGATGTCAAGTCATGTGATGTCATGCCATATAATGTAATGTCATATCATATGATATCATGTCACGTGATATCGTATGATGTGATATCATATTATGTGATGTAATGTCATGTGATGTCTCTTCATATCATGTGATATAATGTGATGTGATGTCATTTAATGTGATCACATTCCATGTTCTGATTATTATATGGATAACCCTGTTGATAACTGTGCCGATAAAAATAGTGTTAACAATATCCATAAACATATAGAAAAATACAATTGCAAAATCGATTGATTCATCGATAAATATAACAAACATCATTATCGATTATTGTACATATCGATAACAATATACATCAATTATTTAATCGATCATTATACCGATAACAATATCCATTATTGTATCGATACCAATATAGATTATTATATTGATTATTATATCGATTACAATAGCTGTTATTTAATCAATAACAGTATCGATAACAACATCGATTATTTTATCGGTAGCAATGTCGATTATTATATCGATAAAAATATCGGGTTTTATATCGATAACAATATCGATCTTCATCCTCATCCTTTTCTTCATATTTATCTTTATTTTTGCATATTCCTCTTCACTCTTACCATAAAGTGTTTAAATTTTCTTTGATCTTCGTTTTTGCCTGTACCTTTGGGCATCTTTGTTTTTGTTTTTATTTTCAAACCGCTAAACCGCTGAGAACCACTTCCATGTGCATTATTCCCCTTGAATTTTACAATTTACTCCCAATCAACCAACTGCCGCTAAAGAAGTTTACTTCATAAATTCAACAAATGTTGTTACCCTTTTAGTTACCCTAATTCTTACGTATCTGTCATTGTCTCCATTTCCGTCTTTATCTTCACTTTTGCCCTTTTTTTACTTCATCGTTCTCATTTATTTCTTCATCTTCATATTTATCTTTATTTCAAAGCTTAATTTCAAATGTGTAGTGAAACAACAGGCGAAACATGTCAAATTGAACATGTTGCAGCAACATCTATACACATTTCGAAAATGTTTAAACAACGGTTTTGGCCGTAATTTTCAACCAATTGTGAAACCATCATCTACGGAAAAATGCCTTCCCAACGGTATTCTTGGTTTTGAAATCGGTTCGGTAGAATTGCCAAACGAACGGAGACAAAATTTATGTTAGCGTATTAATATATAGATGACGACATCCTTTGAGTAAACTGGTACACACTGAATTATTTCAGGATAGATGGCGACTAACTAATACGGTTCGACATTAACAGTATTCACAAAAATGTAATACTCATCGAATAGTTGGAACCTGGTTGCCACCAGTATTTCCCTTTTTCTAAATTAAAAAAAAGAATTCTTCGACGAAAATTTTCGTAAGAGAATGAGATGAAGGCGTCCGCAGAAGTTGTTTAAAGAGAAATGTAAGATATATCTTTTTTTTCGACGATCAAATTATCATATATTCCGGCTTCTGAAAACATCCGCTTTATGGTACTAGATAGACTTCAACAGAAGCCAGCAAAAATCAATGGATTGAGTCTTTTGTACAGCAGTTCTAAGTTCGATAATATCGCTCATTTACTTCAATAGTGTCATAATTCTAAAAGAAAAACTCAATATAAATGGCTTCCCAGGTAGCAAAATTGCCATAAATCTCTTAGGTATCCGTCAGACTCGTCGGAAAAAATTCAAAAATCTGTATGATTTGGCCGATATAGGTCAGAGAAGCGTATGGAGAGGTTGACAGGAAGTCTAGCCGACACGACGTGGGAAATTCTGACTTAATTACCGACGATTCTGACGGATATCTAACAGATGTCTGACCAAATAATCATGGAAAATAAGAATTATCAGACGTGCATGCCCGAAATCGGACATAATTCGATCAGACATATCGGATAAGGAAATAAATAAAAATCTCCGGACACTTCGCCCAGAAACCTGTAAGACTTGTCTAAATAGTCAACTTTTTATTCCGACTTGTCTGATATCAGAAATTGTCTGGCAAATGTGCTAGCTGGGTTATAAGTTTTGAATCTACATATACATACTCCCATAATAAAAATGAATGCATAAATATTTCTTTCTAATGGGATACTGGTAATCGATACAGCTATGAAATTTTTACCAAACAAAGAAGAAGAGGTAGTGGTAATTTATGCATAATTAACTTCCATTGTTTGGCCTAATAAATAAGCGATATGTATAGGGTTAGTTGA